TAAATTTTAATATGACAGTCAAATTATGCTGTATTCTCAGTGGTACAGTATTTCTCACTACAAGGCATGTTAACATTTTTATTTAAAACTTATTATAGATGAGCATTTTCTCATCTATAAAAGTTATATTTTAGACAAATTCACTTTTGAGAATAAGAGTCTTTTATTCTATCTTGGTTTATTTATGAAATTAAGCTTTCTCCCAGAATTGAGAGGCTGTTCTGGGCATGGTATGAAGAGTTCTGTGAGACCATTAGAACAAAGCTCACTGTAGTGCTGAGTGCTCAGTTTGTAAGATATTCCTGCCACATCAAATTGTATGCAACTTTTAATTTACTTATCTTTCTAATTATTTATAGTTAATGATTTTAAAAATTACTGTTATAATATTATAAAAATTTTAGTAGCTGTAAACAACAAAACATGTTTATTATCTGACAGTTCTGATGGCCAGTTTAAAACGGTCTTTATTAGGCTGAATTTTCAAATGTTGGTAGGAAAGACCTCCTTCTTTTAGGATGCTCTGGGGAGAATCTGTCCTCTGGTCTTTCCCAACATCTAGATCTGGCCTGTGTTCTTCAGAGTGTCCCCTTCCTCCATCTTCGAGGCCAGCAATGACCAATGAAGTCTTTCTTTTCTTGTGCCATCTCCAAACTGGCTCTTTTCTCTTTAGTATTGAAGGCCCAGGTAATAATATCCTTTCCTTGCGTCCCACTGATGTTCATGTTTAGATTTGCTTACAGTTCTAGCTTTTCTGTGAAGCTCCTTATACTGCATTCACTAACTGTGTTTAGTAATGTTTTTCAGCATCTAAACCCTTTACTTATTCAAGTAAAGACCCTAAAGTAGGTCTCTCAGAAAGAATAAACTTTTTAAAGCCAGAATTTGTTTTCACCTCTAAGACTTCTTCATTTCTTCTCTAACTCACTTTGAAAAGGTAATTGAGATCTGGAGTGGTGGTAATGATTATTCAGCTTAATTTACAAGTTCCTCCTGTTTTCAGATCTTATTCTAAATCACTGTAAAACACGTTTGTTCTTTTACCTTTAAACTGTTTAAAGTGAATTTTGTGTTTGTCTTTTTCTTTTTCTCTTCCTTTAGTTTTCTAAGATAGAGGCTTGCTGTGTAGCTGAGGCTGGCCTCAAACATGTGATTCTTCCATCTTAGTTGCCTGAAGGCTGGGATTGCAGGCATAGATCTGGCCATCTCCTTTTAAAAAAAGTAAATTATTTTAAATTGACAAATAAATATTGTATGTATTTACTGTGTGCAACATGATGCTTTAAAATATGAATACACTGTAGAAAGGCTAAGTTAAGTAATTAATGTATACCTCATTCCACATACCTTTTTTGTAATGATTACATTTAAAATCTACTCTGAGTTTTCAAGAGTATGAGAACTCATTATTTTAAAAATTGTATTTATTATTTTTTATTTTATGTCTATGAATGTATTGTCTGTGTGTGTGTAAGTGCACCCATGTAGTCAGTGCCCACAGAGATCAGAAGAGGGTGTCAGATTCCCTGGAACTGCAGTTACAGACAGTTGTTAGCTGCCATGTGGTTGCTGGCAATTGAACCCGGGTCTTCTGCAAGAGCAGCCAATACTTTTAACCCCTGAGCCATCTCTCCAACTCTGAGAACTCATTTTTAAAAAATATTAATAATTATACATTAACATGTACAAATAAATGAAACAATATAGCAAGTACTTATAGACCTCATAATCTTATTTCTACTGTTTGTTTATGTAAGTCTCGTCGTCTGCTCTTAGCTAAGAGGCTGAAATAGAGGTTCAGAGGCCAGTTCTGGCTGGGATGTGTCTGACTGTAACTCTTAAGAAGTCATTGGGTAGGTAAATTCACGAAGGGATATTGCTTAGGGTATATAAAAATGTAATAGAGATGCCGTAGGAAGGAATGCTAAGGAAGACAAAAAAGCACGGAACAAAGATGTTCAGGTTTTAGTGTAGTTTAGGGCATTTTATGTTCACTGAACATAGTGCGTGTATTTAATTTTCTTATGTGAAATAGATAAGGCTGCTGTTTCTATTTTGTAGCTAAGGGCTATGAGATCTGATGAGGTCATTCTGTTTCCACAAGTAGTGTAAGTTCTGAGCTAAAACATAAAATTGTAGAATGTTAGATTGTAAAACTCATTCGATCAAATTACCATATTTTGTTGTTGTTCTTGTTACTGTTTTTGGACAGGGTCTCAAGATATTGAATAGGTGAGTTTTACCCACAGGACCCAAGTAATCCTCCTGCCTCAGCTTCTAAGTGGCTGTGACTACAGGAACGTATCATTCAGGGCAATAATTGTGGTATTGTAGTTCTTTGAACTGAACTTTCTTCTGTCTGTGAACAACTTTTTTCCAGTTTTTGTAGTTTGACAAAGCTATTGTGAAGTAAGTAAATGACATTTTGCCTTCTTAAGAAAGATTTTGGATTGAAAAGAATTAGACTAATTACATAATTCAGATTCTATGACTTTTAAAAACAGTATTATTTTTATTTTATGTGTATGAGTGTATTGCCTGTGTGTATGTAAGCATGCCCGTGTTGTGCAATGCCCATGGAGGTCAGAAGAGGGCGTTGGATCCCCTGGACCAGGAATTATTGACAATTGTTAGCTACCATGTGGGTGCTGGGAACTGAACCCTAGTCTTCTGCAAGAGCACCCAGTGCTCTTAACCACTCAGCCATCTCTCCAACCCATAGATTCTATGAAATCTTAAAACTACAAATAACAGTGGATTTAAATTAGCTTTTTTTATCTTAAAAATCTAGACAAGAGGTATAAATTTTACTTGATTAGAACTTAAAAAGTAGAGAACTCCATGTTAATACAGCAATGTTTAAATCATGTTTTTGTCATGGAAATATATTTCCTGAGGTATAAGTCTGTCTTCGAGTAATAGTTAAGGGCCTGTTCTCAAAATAAAGAGTGACATAGGAGGCCAAATTTGGAAGATTTCCACCATGCAGTGGTGAAGTATAGAGGATAGGGGCTTATGGTGTTTTGGGTCTGTAAGGACTTTGCAGGCATAAAAGTGGGTACGTTTATATTTTTGGTGTATTGTTAAAAAGACCTGAATTTAAATCCTTGATCATCTTCCACTGACTAACTTTGTGACCCCCTAATAGCTTATTCTGTATGCATCTGTGAAATAGGGCTGACAGTGTCTATCACATGTGTTTTAATTTGAGAGGGAGAATAAGGGATAGAAATGCAGCTTGTACCAGTATATCTGGCACAAAGCATATACAAATTAGAATAATAGCAATAGTAGTACTTAAAGTTCCACTTCCTGTAGCAACTTATAATAATTATTCCTATAGTTACATCTTATGTTTGTCTCTCCAAATTTTACATTTATTATGTGAACTTTAAAATTAAAGCACTTAATAAATAATTTGGTCACTCATGAAGCGTTTCATGCTTGAGAGGCTCTTCTGAATCTGTTTTCCATGAGTTAAATAATCACTTGTAGGTTCCCTCATCTGATTGCCCAGGTGTGTTCTTTAAAGGTGATCCTGTGCAGCATAGATAATATATTTGAAGAACAATAGTTTGCGTTTACCTCAGGTTACTCTTGTGATCTATCTTCTGTGTCCTAATATATGAATCAGCAATTATCAGTTGTATGTCAATCACAAGTGTACAGATTTGGTAATCCATAGACTTATTTTTATTTATTTATTTATTATTTTTATTTTATGTGTATGAGTGTATTGCCGGCATATATGTGAGTGCACCCATGTCGTGCAATGCTGTGGAGGTCAGAAGAGGGCTTCGGATTCCCCTGGAACTGGAGTTAAGGATGGTTTGTAGTTGCCATATGGGTGCTGGGAATCGGACCCAGGTCCTCTGCAAGAGCAGTCAGTGCTCTTAACCGCTGAGCCATCTCTCCAGCCCCTATTTTTAACAAGATATATATATATATATATATATGTAGACAAGGAAAGATGTTCCTTAAAAACTATGTTTGAGCTGGGTATGGTGATGCACATCTGTAATCCCAACACTGGGGATTACAGAGTTCTAGGCATGAGGATCATGAGTTCTAGGTTAGTCTTGCTACTTAGTGAAGTCAAGGCTGTCTTGGGCTAAAATTAAAACTAGATGGTGAGATGCTGTCTTAAAAATAGATAAATGGGGCTGGAGAGATTGCTCAGTGGTTAAGAACACTGACTGTTCTTACAGAAGACCTGGGTTCGAATTCCAGCACCCACATGGCAGCTAACAACTGTCTGTAACTCCAGTGCCAGGGGATAGACAGCCTCTTCTGTCCTCCGTGGGCATTGCGTGACATGTGTGCACTTACCTACATGCAAGCAATACATGTATACACATAAAATAAAAATAATAAAAATAGTTTTTAAAAATAGGTAAATTATGAGGCTGGAGAGATGGCTTAACAGTTAAGAACACTGGCTGCTCTTGCAGAAGACGGGTTTGTTTCCCAGCACCCACATGGCTATAATCTCAGTTGCAGGGGCTCTGACGCCATCTTCTGGCCTCCACAGGTATTGCATGACACATGCACTTACATATATTTAGGCAAAATGCTCTTGCACATAAAATTAAAATAAAATTTGAAAAAAATAAATAAATGAAAATATAAATTAAGAATTAAGAGAACAAAAATCCTATTCTCATTTTTCTTTTTTTCTTTTTTTTTGTTGGTGTTTTTGAGACAGGGTCTCCCTGTGTAGACCAAGCTGGCCTTGACCTCACAGAGATCTGCCTGCCTCTGCCCCCCGCCCCGCCCCCAAGTGCTGGGATTAAAGGCGTACTCCACCAAGCCCCACTAGAAAAATCCAATTTTCAGTCAATGGAAGGGTAGATGTTCTTATTTCTAAACTGTGGTTGTTTTTGGAGACACATCTTTTGCTAACCATGTTATGTTCGTAACCTGATTTGATGTTAATTTGTTAACTTGTCTGAGAAGCCTTTATTTCCCCACTCTTGATTCTAATGGACATTCCTTTCCAGAGCATGAAGGGGAAAAGCAAAAGCAGTCACGACCTGCTAAAGGATGATCCACATCTGAGCTCCATTCCAGCGGTCGAAAGGTTAGTGTGGTGCTGCTGAGATCTGAGGTCCTGTGTTCAGATTTCTTGCTTTCTCATTTTCTTGATTTCTTTGTTGGAAAATAGTGCTCATAAATTAATTTTTCCACAGAGCCAAAACAAGAATACAACTTGGTAACGGAGATGGAGAGCTTGTGGTACGGTAGCAACACTACCGTCACTTTCCTTCTTGTCTGTCTCTGTTGGACTAATTACATTGTGTGAGTGATGTCGAACTTCTCCCCTTGGCTAGTCTGAATACTAACAACTGTTTGCCTTAACAGTTGCATGTTTAATTTCACTTTGCCTTGCTGACTTTGTCTTTGAAACTCTGTTGTTGTGATATGAGCAAGCAAATGAGACTGCAAGATCATTGGAAAGTCATAGCATAGCATCTGGGGTCCATCTACTGTTGAAATTCCTACAACTTTCAGAGTTAATGGAAAAATTACGGTCTCTGTTGCTTCTTTTTTAGAAGGAAACATGTATTAGTGTTAAATATTTTAATAATTACACATGATGTGTTGGGCCAGTGTCTCAAGTAGGGACAAAATACTGTAGTTCTGAGGCTAACTCATCTTCAAAAGTCATATTTCAAAACAGTCTTTTTTGAGTATCCTTTTATTTGTAGGATTTGATATCTTTAGCCTTAATTCTTTAAGGTACTAGAAAAAAAATGTTTTCTGCAGATGAAATATCCTTGATGGTGGCTGTTTGCTTTAAAAAAATCCAATGAATTCACATAAGCTGCTAGTGGTGCTTTACTCTGATTTTGAACAACTCCCTTTGAGGTTGTTTCCATCTGATGTACAGTACCCTTCTCAGACACTGTGGAGGAAGATTGAAACATTAGTCCAAGCAAACTATTCTATACTTTTAGTTATTAAATACTTCTATTTGTTTTTTTTTGAAGCTAAAATGTATTTGTTTTACTTATTTTTGTAGTGAAAAGGATGATGCAACAAGAAATTTGGAAGATGTGAGTATTCATTTTAGTACAAATATAGCTTGAACAATTTAGAGATAGGTCATATTTTTACAAATAAGTTACTTTTTCTTTTAAAACATTTAAGTATCCATGCAGTTTTTTAAATGAAAAATGAAAATTTATTTTGATGTTAGAATATTTTTCCAAGCAGATGTATATATTTCCCTACAAAATTGGAATCGTATGTGAATTTCTACCCTGCTTTTTCTCTCTGTCACATAACATTATGTGAATAATTTTATTATGTTAAACCTTTAGATGTAATGGGTAAGCATCCTACATGATATATGGGAAATGCTTGGATGAGTTTTTCTGGTAGTATTCCTTTTTATGTATATATTTTAAGAGTTTCTTTTAAGATTGTACCTTTATTTCCAGCTAACAATGTTTAAAAGCCAGAAGGAAGATTTTCTTATGTGAAAGATAAATTTTCTTAAATTATGCAAATACCACTTTGAATTAAACCTATTGATCTGTGCTTTGCATAATTCAAAAGAAAGTATGTAACTTTGCATGTACAAAAAAGATTTATCTATTACTACAGTTAAAGAGGGGGTTCTCTGATGACTATAGTAGAGAGAAAATAGTGGACTTTGTGAAGCAAACCTTCTTGGAAGACACTGTGATATCTTATGGGAGAGTAGATGTAAATTCAGTCACAAAAGAAGGTGGTGAAGGAGAAATTAGACCTTATTCAGGAAATGCAAGGTGAGGTTAAAGTTTGAATGAACTTGATGCGTAGAGAACTGGAAGGACTCCACTCTAGGAGCGTTTCATGTGTTCCTGGAGCTGAAAGCAGGCCAGTGTGATCAGAGCATAGTGACAAGAGGGAGCGTGGAATGAGGAAGGAGGAAGAAGGGGGAGAAGGACTGGCACATGTTACAGCATTTCATAGGCCATGGTGAGAAGCTTGAGTTTCATCGTAAAAGTAATTAGGAACACTTGAAGGATATTTATTAAAAGGAAGGGTGCTATGGCCAACTTTGCATTTTAGAAATATCACCATTGGTGGTATAATAGAGGACAAATGAGAGGGAGCAGATTAGGGTGAAGGGAAGCTGTTGGAAGGCTGTTGAGGGAGGATAGCTCAGTGTAGGATCACAGCTGTGAGATGGGAAAGACATGGAAGATGAGGAAGGCATCTAGGAGGACCATAGGTTTTGATTTGGAGGACTTGTTAGAAAAGCACAAGAGAGAAAAGACTTGAGGCTAGGAGGAAGATGAAAATTAATTAGCTTTTTTGTATACTTTGAGATTGAGATAAGTTGGAGACACCTGGTAACAATAAAATGGGTATAAATAATATAAATTTGCTCTTAAGTTTATGGATAGGGTGAGGTCACCTAAGGATAGTGTTTGGTCTTTTAACTTGTTTGTATCCCAAAGTCTTAGAAATGATTTAATCTATAGGTCCTTTCCACAGAAAATGTACACGCTGACAGACAGAATTTTATGACTTTGTTTGAGATCTGCTGAGCCCAGGTCTGTGTTAGTTGCTATCAAGTTTAGTGCTCAAGAATTACTTAAACATCTTGCTGAATGCACAGTTTCTATCCACAGAGATTTTTGGTTCAATAAGTCTGCAACAAGGATTGGGATTTTATAATTTTAACACATTATTCTATAAGGAGTCTGAGAACCAAGCGTTGGAGATTACTATTATAAGGGTTCATTAGCCTCAAGTCAAGAATCCTGTCTTACCATGACTCTCCAGGCCAAAGAATCACAAGAGAGAAATAATCCATGTGGTGTAGTTTCTTCTCTTCCTCCCCTTCTCCCTCTTTTTACTAATGCTTGGAGCTGTTCTGGAAATTGAAGATATAATAGTAAGCAAAACAGGCCAGAATGTGAGTCATGGAGCGTTCTTACTTGTGTGAGAAACAATAAACAAGTAAATAATTAGTGCTATAGAAATAGGTGAGTGAAGAGGACATGCGGTGGGAAGGTGGTTTTACCATGTTATCAATATGGTCACAAATTGTACCAGCAAGAAGGTAGCATTTGGGCAACGAGGTGAAGGAGAGGAAATAGCAAACATGCAGGTATCTAGAGTCACACTGTTTCAGGCTAAAGAGAACGCCTCCAAAGTTGGCTGGTGGTGTTGGGTTAGAGTTGGAGGAGATTGTCAAGGAGAGGGTAGGGAGCCTCAAGTGAGTTGGGGATCCATTGCAAACATTACAAAGATTTCAGAAGAGAAGTGATTGCTCTGAGTTAGATTATAGGACTAGGTCTCCTCTTCTTTTTTTTTTTTTTTTTTAGCTTTTTTTTTTTTTTTTTCTTTTTCTTTTTTTCTTTTTTTTTAGCTATGGTAGAGGGTTTTCTGCTGCTTGTTGGCCCCAGGGCCCTTAAACCTCAGCTTCTGCTCTCTGCTGCTTCTACTTGAATCTAACCTGGATGATGTCAGTATGCTGTCCAACTGCCTCCAGAATGACATTTCCCACTTGGATAAGAATAGCATTGTGGATAGACACAATAATCTGGGTGATACAGAGGGGAACAGTCTCAGCTACACAGGAGCTGGGCATGAACTGAGCAAATTACCCTTCCTGGGATCCCATGCTTATGTAATTAGCCTAGAGCAGACCCTAGTGTCTTTCCCAATGGGAGAAGATTCTTCAAGCCCATAGTGGCTCAGAACTAAGCAAGCCTGGCCTAGAATGCAAGAGGGTCTGGGACGACTCTCTAGAGGTGAAAGGAGAAATGGAATGCTTGGCAAGTACTGACTTTCAGTTTTTACAGGATGGAGAAGATGAAGGTACAGAGCATGATGAGTACAGTGATGGTGATGAGAAGAACCTGGTGAGAGAAAGAATTGCAAAAAAGTTAAAGAAGGATCCAGGTGCAAATATGAAGTCAGCCAGAGAGGGAGAAGCAGAGAAGAAGCCAAGCCGCAGGTGAGTCAGCCATATGCCTCTGGGCATCTGAAGTTTGTCTTTTTATATTACTTTTTTCTTGAGACTGAGTATACTTCGCAACTAATGTGTCAAACTGCCATTGCATAATATATATTAAATATTATAGTTATGCAAATTAACCCTTTTAGGGGCCTAAAAGAAAATAGTCCAGAATCAAAGTAAATTTGTCCAGCAGAAACTTTTCAAGTTAAGGATCTACATACTTTTAATGTGGGATAAGCAATATATTAGCTAGATGTGAAAAATTGTGTTTGCTTAATACTAATGAGAACACTGAGAAATTTGCATCAAAAAGAAAGATGCCCTCAAACAGTTTAGGGAAGTTAAATTTGTCACCATTGATGAATAAAGCATGTAGGTCTGAAAACATACTCAAAAGTCTTTTCAAGAGTGATTTACAAAATACTATACACCCCTCTTAATCACTGGTATCATAAAATAAATTTCAGTAAATGATAAGTTCAATCTGGTACTAAAAGTTTGTTTGATTCTCTGACTTAACATTTTACTTTCTTGAGATTCAATTCAATTAGAAACCTCTCTCCTTCCTGTGTGATTTCTTTATTACAATGCTATAGTATATATCTTAAGTAATGCTGCTTTATAGGGTCATAGGATATCTTTTCTTCAGCTGGTCTATGTTTGAAATAAGATAAAGTTCATATACATAACTTTTTTTTCTATTGTGTTTCTTAGCCTCATGTGGAAAGCTTAAGGATAAAGACATTTCCTTTGCATGGGTTCCTCAATATTTGTTTTGTTTAACCAAAAATAAAAATGATCCCCAGAAGTTTCCGCTGAACATGAGATCACTTTCTGTAGTCAGAAATGGAACTTAGATGTTATCTTATTTCTTTTTCCCAGTAGCTTCACCTGAAACTTAATCACTGTTGAATAATTTATATTTTCCCCCCTCTCGTTCAGGGCATGTGCTTTCTGATGTTTAGGAATAACATCTTTTTTAAAGATTAGGTTTATAATACAACAAAATATATTTTAAAAATTTCTAATAGGTGAACCAAACACTAATTTGTTTTATTTAAGTGTTGCTTAAATTCTAAACTCTGTCTTATTGGCCTTAATACAATTTTAAATTCTTAAATAACCTTCAATTAACATTAAATTATAATTTAACAAAACTGAATTTTTTATGGGAACTAAAAAAGGCTTATTTTAAATGGTTCTTTCGTAAATGGCTAAAAATGACTTGCCTCACATAAAAAATACCAAGCATTTCCTTTTCCAAAAGTGTGTTCATCCTCACCACAAGTGGTTATCCTTCAAAAATTCTCACTTGTGGTGTGGTCCTGATGAGCAAGCATGGCACAGATAGATGGATAAAGGGGTAGGGTCTTGATCATGAAGATGGCGGGGAGCTACAAAAGTGAATTATTTATAGGTGAACGAGGCATTGAGATTGTGTTTCATGTACAGAATGGATTGATGAATGCAGTATCTGGGACTACTAAGAAAACTGACAAAAGGCAGGGTGATTTTTATAGTTTTAGAAGCTAAAGTCTAAGATCAATGTGCTGACAGTTTTGAATATGGATAAGGACACTTTTTGGGACTCAGAGACTAACAGCTCTCTTTCACATGGTGGAGGAGAGTTCTGGTGTTTCGCCACTTCTCATAATGATGCTGATTCCATCATGGAGTCTGAGTTACCTCCCAAAGGCCCAGTCTCCACATAGTGTCATGTAAGGGTTTATACATTCACCATAGGAATTTGGGGGGTAGCAAACATTTGATTTGTTGCAAGAGGAGAGATTGAAGAATAGTTAGAGGCTTTGGTCAGTACATCCGTGTGAAAGATGTTGGTGAACTATCTAGTACTGGTTATTCTAAAGGCTGCTTCACATGAAAGGGTGTTTAATAATTAGGTATTGTTGATTTTCCATTTGAAGCTTAGTTTTTATGATGATTTCTTATATAGGCACATCCTAGGAAACATCCAGTCATGTTAACAATTTCCCTTTCTAAATGAGTATAATTTACGTAACTAAAATAATAAAAACTTTAAGTTAATGAGCATTTTGTAAATTCACTGTAGAGGAAAGATGAATAAAGTATTTTGCAAGTTTTCCAAAGAAAGTAATATAAGAAAATTAATTCTCTAAAGCTTCTTTAAAAATTTTAGGTAAGGGCTGGCTGGTAAGATGTCTCAGCAGGTAAGTGCTTACTGCTAAGCCTGAGAACCTTTCAAGCCTCAGGACACTCCTCTCTTTTCTAAGTATTATTAATTGTACTTTTTCTTATCCTGCCCACATCCCTGTGCCTGTATCTGGATAGCAGGATGCCACTCAGCAGAATTACAGCCATAAAACAGTTGTTACTGTGGCTTCCCAGTGTCCTGCCTCAACTGTATCACCAACACATCTTTCATTTGCTTCCCACAATGTTTGATTCAAACTCCCAGCTCACTCTGCATGTCACCTAGATTCCTGTTTCCTGAAGCTAAAGAATGATTCCATTCTTTCCAGTGTCTTCAGTTTTCTCCTCTCTGGATCTTTCCCTCAGCTGGTGAACAAGCTCAAGACTCTCCCAGCACTCAAGAATAAAAACAAACCACTCCATGTTATTTCCTGGCCTCACCTCCTTACTACCATCTATTTCTAAGTGCTCATAGTCTGCTTCCCCTCCACTCCTCCCTGAAACAGGTCTCATGAAGGCCATCTAATTGACAAATCTAATGGCTCCTTTCCAGTTCCTTTTTCTCTTGGCCTCCCACCTGTGGAAGTTTTCTATTTTTCCTCTTGAAACCCTTCCCACCTCTTTCTCATTCTCACTTTCCCCTTTAAATTGTGATTTGTTATCCAAACCCATTTGTGTAATATGGGAATTATTAGGAATGCTGAGTCTCAGGCCCCACTTCACATCTTTTGATTCAAAACCTGCACTTTACCAAGCTCTCCCAGTGATTTTTATGTATAGTACATTGATATAGGAGAAGTAAACATGTTAGCTCAAAGGACAGAAAATTGGTGCTACAGTCTGTCTCTCTTTTGGGTATTCTGATTGGAACTTTCTCATATTTCTGTGGTATAAGTATGACATAATTTAAAGTATGATAATAAATTATAAGGGTGTCTAGTTGTTTGTGTCTTCATGGTCAAACATTATAGGTACCCAGACATTTGTATGGATGAATAAAAACCAAACAGGTCCTACCTTAACAAATCATTTTTTCTTCTAGATCTTATAAGTAACTTGTTTGTACTTCCACATGGGATTTATTAATTTGCCTACTTGAAGTGAACTCCTTTTGGGGAGGTATCTTATTTATATTTACATTTTCAGAGCTTATATATGAGCATATGTTGACTGGTCATTAGAGTCAGTAGAAAGGGTAGATAATAAATAAATGAAAATACTGTAATTTATTACAGAAAACATTTTCACTCCCAGATTGACAGTAGGTTAACTGGTGGGGCTTACAGAAATACTAGCATCATAGGCTCTGCATCATTTGGTCTGCGATAAAGTTTGGGCACTTCTTTTTTTGTTTTACTTTTTAACTATTTAAATATAATATACATCCAGAATATATCTATGTGAACTTTGTTTCATAGTATACATAAGTATACAAGTTGCTAAATTTAATGGATTAGGTACTCCCATATTCCCATCAACAGATCAAGAAAGAGTTTCTCTAACCTAGAAATCCTGCTTTCCCCCATTTTGGTAACTTTTGTCCTCTTTCTCTAACAGGAGCCACCTTTTGAACTTCTGAGATCAGACTTTAACTTCAGGCAGAAGTATTTTACAGAAACCCTCCAGATATTCTAGTGTGCATCCAGGGATAAGAATCACACCTACTTAGTTACTTCTGGGGTACAGAATAAAGTGAGATTAAGGGTATTTCATAGGATCACCTCAGATCTTCTTTCAGTATAACAGAGATCAAACATTTGTATCAATTGAACTTGTTTAAATTTTGAAAACAATAAAAGGTTAGTATGTAATCAAATAATTTTAGAAGGAAGAAAATAGGACATTTGAATACTCAATGTTTTTAAAAAGATGTGTGCTAGTAACAAATTCAGTCAGAACTTGTCTGTACATTAGTATCATCTGAGAACAGGTCTTACTAAGTTAATGAGGATTCTTGTTATATGGTCATAAGAAAAAATTTAAAATGCCCATTTGTTTTAATGTGCAAGGTTGGTTAAAAGTTGGGATAGTTACTATTTATTTTTTTGAAAAGTCTTGAAGACTTGAGTTTACTTGTTATGAACCCTTTTTGCCTGTAAGTGGAGCTGAGCAGCTGCAAGTCAGTCACATAAACTCTATAGTTTTCTTCTCTGCTTGTTTCTAGCATCTTCTATGCTGATTTATAATGAATAACTGATGCTAAAATCAGATGGGATAAGCAGACTGGTCAAAAGTCAATTGCTTGTTGTCATGATTATAATCATTATGAAATTATTATCTTTCATTGTGTAACATGTCATCTATAATTTTATGATTTTTTTGTTTTCATTAAATTGAAATACAAATCAAAGAAATCTGGATACATACTCTTAAATCACAATCATTTAAGATTTTATAGTGATCTTCCAAGACTATGAGAGTGATATCAGTCTTGGTTTTTGAACAGATTCTAAATTTATCAACCGTGTTTTATTTGCCTGATATATTTAGTTGACTGTAATTCCTTTTTCATGAAATGGGATTCTTATTTGATGAAATTAAGTAGAACTTGTATTTTGCTCATGAATGCTGTTAGGTTGAATAAATGTGAGATGTCTTGCTATAAGATAGCACCAGGTAGTTAGAGATGAATATTAAAGCTGAGGCTAAAGTTCTGTGAATCAGTTAAACTATAAATTATAAAACAAGTGTTAATATAAAGTCATAAGTGATGTATTTATAATCCCCAAGGCTTGGATGAACACTTAAAGAGCTGTTAATAATTTAGTCTCTCATCTTTGCTTGCTGGATTTGTAGTGTGTGACTAGGATGTCGGATGGAATTTT